AGGGTAGGGGGGGGCGATTGGAAAGGAGAAGAGGGGAAGGGGGGAGAGAGAGCGAGGAGGGAGAGAGGGATGGGCGGGGTGGCTGGGAAGGGGAAAAAGGGAAGGGGGGTGGTTGGAAAAGTGAGGGTGCTGGAAATGTAGGGTTAGGATATTTATTATTTAGGTTTAAGAGGTTTCCTTTTATACTTTTTTTTTAATTCAATTAAATCGGTTTAGTTTAGTCCGTTTCAATCGATTTAAACCCTTTTAAATCGAAACCGAACCGGATCAGATAATTTTTTTATTTTTTAATCGGTTTATTCGGTTTTTTCTATTGGTTTGGTGTTTTTGGTTTAATCGGTTGGTCGGTTTTTTTGAATACTCCCAGGTGGTATAGTGGATAATAAGTTGGAAAACACTTTCCAGTGTTTGGTTATATCATGAAAAATAAGCTGAAAAATAACCTATTAATAAATTTTTTTTAAGTTTATTAAAATAACGAGAAACAAATCTTATAAATTAAAAAGTTGAATGAAAATAAAATTAAAAAAATAAAATTTTATAAATTATTTGAAATGAATATTAACATTTTATAAATTATTTCAAATAAAATAAGTAACATTCAAAAGAACGAGAATCAAATTTGATAAATAACAAATTTCAATAAAAAATGATAAGGAAAAAAATAACAATTATAAAATGGAGAATCAAAGTTAATATAAAAATTAAATTTTAAGAGATAAAATTAAAAAATAAATATTAAAAATAAAATATATATAGCAACCAAAATTTTGAGGACCGAATTTGATATACAAATAATATGATATTTTTAAAATTTTTATAATTTTTAAAAAGTGTTTTTCGTTTAAGTTTTTTTTAAAAGATTTTTATAATTTTCAGAAAGTGTTTTTCGCTTAAATGTTTTTAAAAAATACTTGTCTGAAAATCAAGTTTTTTAACTAAAAAATATTTTTTATTGATTAAATTTTTTAATGATAAATAAATATAAAAAAATATAATTTTTTTTTAAAATCTATTTTTCAAGAAACAGATGGTTTTAATATATATTGTTTTTAATACTCGAGCACCGCTTAAAAATTGTTTTTTCACGCTTTAAAAAAATTGGTCCGCCCGCAACGAACACTGGCGAGCTACCTAGTGAATCACTAATATCCATTTTACCTTTCTGCTTTCTTGTTTCAAGAACGCCAAAACGCAAAGCAGCTACTTTCTCCACTCTCTCCTCTCCGAATGAGCTAGGGTTTATCGTTTTTCGTATTCCGTTTCCATAATCAGGTACATTGCTGTCACCTTACCTCACCAATCAATCAATAATGCTCGCCGTCTTCTTGATCATCATCGTTTGAGGATTTCGATGATCGTTAAATTTTGGGGATTTTTTTTTTTGTTTTTACGCTAATTAAATTGGCTATTCCTCGGTATCTGCATGTGCATTGGAGTTTTAAATCAAATTAGGAAAAAGAAACCTAATTAGAAATGTAATTATCGAGTTTTTCTTGCGATTTTTTTAGGTATCCGATGGCTCCTAATCCGAGAGTGGTGAACGCGTTCAGGGCGATGAGAGCGATTGGAATAACAGAGAAGCAGGTTAAGCCTGTATTGAAGAAGATGCTGAAGCTTTATGACAAAAATTGGGAGCTTATAGAGGAGGAAAATTATAGAGCTCTTGCGGATGCTATCTTTGAAGAGGAGGAGGCTAAGGTGCATTTCTTTTATTTATTTACTCTTTTTTTTGGTTTTATTTTAATGTTGTGATCGTGTGTTTGATATTTGTTTCGAATTCAGGTTCCGGAAGAGAAGGATGAGGCTGCTGTGAGTGATTTATTTGTTTTGCTGGTAATGTTGTGTTGTTTGCTCGTATCTTCTGAAGTGGATATTGGCTGTTTTGGTTTGCAGGAGGGGACTTTGGAGGAAGAAACTTTGGTATCTAGTGAACCTGAGTTGCCATTAAAGCGGCTGCGAAGAGGGCAAGATGGGCAAGTTTCTGGATCTCCTAGTGACATTGAGGCTGAATTGGGTGGAAGCCCTTTTAAGAAGAGTAAAGTCGAGGGGAAGGGACTGGCTGGTGAAACATCGGAGCAGCAGTCATCGGACATGAGAATTTCACAACCGAAGCCAATTGCAATTTGGAGTCCTAATAGAAACACAAGTTCACAAACTGTTTCTCCTGACATGAGAATTTCACAACCGAAGCCAATTGCAATTTGGAGTCCTAATAGAAACACAAGTTCACAAACTGTTTCTCCTCGTCGTTTGGCAGTGCTGGAACACTCTAAGCAGCGTTCCAATGAGGGAAAAGATCCTTTATTATCAGAGGCTGCTGCACAACAGAAAAGACCTAATTTAAAAGGATCGTCACAAGCAGTTCACCTTAAAGACCCCATAGTTCAGCAAGGCATTCTTCTTTCACCCAAACAAAAAATGCCTCTTATCAAGCCTAAAGACGAGCCATTTACTGATGATGTGCCCTTTGATGACGCACCACAACCTATCGCAATAATCCGACCAGGTAAATTGATTCAATCATTGGGGCAAAGGAATCGGGGAGTGTTGTTTGTAACCATAAATGATGAAGTTTTTTTTTTTCCTCGAGTTTTTAATTCGAATGTCAAAATTGCAATTAATGTCTTTCTTATTGTTTTGTTTCTTCTTATGTAAAGGATTTGAATGTCGACATGGCAATTAGTTCTTTTCCTGTAGGCTGATTTTGGTTTCTTCAACCTTCACAGATTGTGCACGTAAAGAACAATACTTTAATCAGAGAGTTTCTTCACTCAAACTGCATCGACAAGAACGTCCGGCATCCCGAGTTTTAGCTGGTGAAGGTAGGGAAGGGAACCTTCCAGTCCCATCAAGTCTGACAAGAGACAGTTGTGAACTTGCAACCATTCCAGAGGAAGCTCAGGCTAACTTAGAGATCGCCACCTCAGCATTGGGAGAGGTGAAGATTTCTCTGAGCTGCAACTCTTTGCTTGGAAGACCAAATTTTCATATGCCTAGTCAAGATGAACTTCTGAAATCAATGCAGGAGAAATGTCTCCGAACTTACAAAATCATCGATCCAAACTTTTCTGTCATGCAAATACTGAAAGATATGTGTGAATGCTTCTTGGACTTGGCAACTGATTCCTCTCATGAATCGCAGGAAAGGATATTGAATGTAACTCCAGCTCTTGATCTAATGAAGAAATCTGCTGGTGTTGGTGCCATTAAACAAAATGACCGTATACAAGCCTATTTTGCAAACAGATCAGTTGATGCCTATTGCTTTGATGGGAAGGCCGCTCTTCAAATTCCAAGATCACTACAACTTTCAAATGGCTTGGAGGTCATGCATTCTCGTGAAGAGGTTATTGCGAATGGGTGTTCTGGCAGCGGCAAAGAAAAGGAATTTGAAGATGCTGAGTATGGTAGTTTGATTGTGGTTCCACAGCATCAATTGACTGCTGATGAGTTTAGGTTCCTTAATTACCATTCTGACATTACCAAGGGAGAAGAAATGGTTGAGATTCCATGGTCGAATGAAGTAAACAGCGAGTTTCCCCCAGTTTTTAACTACATACCCCGAAATTTGATTTTTCAAAATGCTTATGTCAACTTCTCTCTCTCACAAATTAGGGCTGAAAATTGTTGCTCGGCTTGTATTGGTAATTGTTTGTCGTCATCTACGCCTTGTGTTTGCTCCAGCGACAGTGAGCATGGTTTTGCATATACTTTAGAAGGCCTTGTCAAAGAGGATTTCTTAGAAGATTGTATCTCTCTAACTCGGAATCCTCAAAGACAATTTCTTTTTTACTGTAGAGATTGCCCACTGGAAAGATCAAAAAATGATGAGATGTTGGAACCATGCAAAGGTCACTTGAAGAGGAAATTTATTAAAGAATGTTGGAGCAAATGTGGCTGCCACAAACAGTGTGGAAATAGAGTTGTGCAGCGAGGTATAATGTGCAAGTTGCAGGTATGAGTAGAATATGCTACTGTATTTTTTGGCCAGCTAGTTATTATGGCATGGGCTTTGCACGTGGGAAATTTATGTTATTATGAAAAAGGTAAGGTTTAATTTAAGAGTAATTAATCAAATATGCTAATTATGATCGGAAAAAAATTATTTGAAACATTCTTCCAGTTATAGCTAAACCTACATGTTGACCTTGTGTTTTAAATTTTTTATTGAATAATAAAATAGTTCATTATCCCTATTAATTAATTAAATAACTAAAATCATATCCTTGAAAAAAGAAGGGGCTCAAATCTACTCGATTCCTTTTAGTAGTTTTTTTTTTATATATTTTTTCTTTTTCTCTAGATATGATTTATCTAGCTATTAAATTTTTTTATTCACAATATAACTTGACATCATCACCATGATTTTTCTTATTTCTTATTTTTGTAATTGTTTTAAATAAGTATGTATCTCATATTTTGAAGATTAGCATGGGTAAATATGTTTTATGAAAAAACTGCTATAAATCATTAGTGATAGTTAAATAAACTAAATGCTCATATGCGAATATGTTTTTAAACTTCTGTAACTATTCCATTTTGATAATTATATATAAAAATATTTTTTAGGTAATTATATTTCTGATATCAATTAAGTCTCGGTTCATATTCTTACACCCATTATTAAATTCATGAATCAAAGCATAGTTAAATTTTTTATCTTTCCTTGCCGAGAAAACATATTCTTCTATAAACAAATATTTTTTTATCCTTTCTTGCTGTGAAAACATGATCTTCTATAAACATAATATGTGTTAACATTTATGGTATAAACATAATTAAAAATAATATTTAAATAAATATATAATGTGTTATATAGTTTTTTATCAATAGGATAGAAATTCCGTGATCAAACTACCAAATAGAATAGCTTAGAATGGGTTAAAAACAAAGCCCTAAACGGTTTACTTTGTATTGAATAAGTAGAATATTTTATTTCCCTTTTGGGAAAATATATTATACATACATCCATTATTAAGGTCTAAGCTATAAAAGTGAAAGTTGTCCTTTGTATTGTTATTTTACTCAATAGAATTTAATTATTAAAATTAATTAAGTATAAAATGTGAAAACAAGTAAGCCAATAAAATTTATTTATAAAATCATTCCATATTAAAGTCCTCTATGTAAAAAGAAAGAAATGGAGAGAGAGAGTTTATATGTTAAATAATTATTTGGTTTGTTTTAGAATAAAAAGTGAACACTGTTAAGTTGTGGCGTAAATTGACGAGTTAGTTTAGGTATTGGATGTTGTGGTGTCCTAAACAAGTATAGAATGTGTTAACATATTCTCTTTAGGAGAAGAGACTTTCCTTGTTAGGGTCGGACTTTAAGCATGTTTTCTAATGAATCAAGGAATTTATAGCTAGTATAAATAAAATATATTGTGGCTAGTTCATGTGTGCCTTCAATATTATGTGTGGTCGCAACCAAAAGAATTAATATAGTAGCTAAAATCTTGAGCCAAAAAGAATTAGTGTGGTATTTTCTTGTGAGTGATCTCTTTGGTGTTATCCGGTTATGTATTTTTATAGTGTTTGATTAGTAGGTGTAATCTCTATTTTGAGAGTGAAGTTTTGTGGAGCAGGCTTTGTTGAATCACATTATATTTCGTGGCCCTTTTATTTTGTGTTACTATTTGGTTTGCTAGGGTTTTGCATAACACGCTTTTAATTTAAATATGGAAGGGCAATAAAGTTTTGTAAAATTTAATATAGATAAATTATTTAATGATCATGTTATTGTTTAAAAAGACAGAAAGTAAATACATGAATTAGTAAAATTTATTTAGTTATAACAGGTTGTATAGCTAGGTAACTACAAGGTAGTTTTTGTTTTTAAAGAAACAAACAGCAATCTTGTTGAGTGAGTATTTTGTTAGTCTTATAGTTTAGTTAATAATTGAATGCCATCACAAAAATATAGAAGTGTAATAGAGGTCATAAAATCATAAGTAAATAAATAAAGGGTATGTAATTCTTCATATGAGAAAAAGATTAATGGTATTTTAGTCAAATCAAGTGTTTCAACAGAGTTCATACTTATATATACAACTATTGATTTATGGTTCCTAATATAAGAAATATGATCATGTAAATTGTTCCCTGAGTATTCTTTACAGTGTCTTGTTTGTTCACAATTTTTTCTCATTGCTAATTTTTTGTGCGTCAGGTTTTCTTTACTCCTGAAGGAAAGGGGTGGGGTCTCAGAACTCTAGAATTGCTACCAAAAGGTACATTTGTATGTGAGTATGTAGGGGAGATTCTAACCAACAAAGAGTTCTACGAGAGGAAGATGCAAAGGGCAACTAGCAACAAAACTGAAAAGCATGCCTATCCAGCTGTACTCGATGCAGATTGGTGCTTGAAAGGAGTTGTAAATGATGAAGAAGCTCTGTGCTTGGATGCGACATTTTATGGAAATGTTGCTAGGTTTATCAACCACAGGTAAGACTGTATATCTGATGCATATTGCTTTGAGCAGCTGACCTCCCATCCACTTTTTCGTGTTCTTTTCTTTTTGAACTTTTCAGTTGGTTTTCCTTGTTTCACATGCACCGGAAAAATACTAAATTTTTATCAGAAAAAGAAAAGAGAAAAAGGATGATATGAAGTTTCAGCCCTGCATAAGTAATCTTCCCTGTGCTGGTGATCAGAGAGTTGATGCATTCTGATAAATGTTCTTTTGTTTTTGTTAGATGTCTCGATGCTAACATGATCGAGATCCCGGTGAAGATTGAGACCCCTGATCATCATTATTATCATGTATGGATGCTTCATTTGGATTCTTATTACCATGTATGTATTGAACATACGATTATATTCTCAATGACACTACTTCTCTCATAGGATTAATTTTCATGCAGCTTGCTTTCTTCACGGCTAGAGAAGTGAATGCTTTGGAAGAGTTAACCTGGGTGAGCAATGTCACTCGAGTTTATGAATTTTTTCCATGTTTTTTCTTAGTTATGTAAGCATCGTTGCTTTGATGCTTTCCAATGAGGAGGCATGGTTGGCATTACACTGTTTTACGGTAAGTTATATTGTGTTTGTGAGAAGAAATTACAAAGATGGTATGTCTAAATGTTTGTTTTCTTTAGTGATCGAGAGCTTTATTTATTGTAGCTATGACATTTGCAATTGGAAATTCTATATACTACTTGTTTTTTGTTATACTGAGTTAGCAGTTCACATCATGCCGTGTTCCATGCTCTTCAATTTTAAATTTTTTATCATGTGCAATCTTTCTATGGTTTTAAAAATTAGTGTCTGACATGTCTGCAGGATTATGGTATTGATTTTGATGATACTGATCAACCTGTGGAGTTATTCCAGTGCCGATGTGGCAGCAAGTTCTGCAGGAACATGAAACGTTCAAGTAGTAAGCTTATTCTAAATCTTTATGAGGCACGAGTTGAGCAATATGAACTATTTTGACCTCTTTACTTTTTAGTGATATTGAGATGCAATCTCCAAGCATGTGCCCTTTTGACGTCTCCAAGCTTTCCTTGGAAGCTGTATTGTTCGTTATGTTTATGATAAAAAACCTTTGGTTTTCAGGTCTCAAGGATAGCCTAGTAATAGGCGCTGGTGTTTGGTCATATATCTTTGAGTTGGCAATTAATTTTAGTTTAGATAGTGATGCAGGTTTTTTCAAACCATTCACCTATCACATATGGTGTTCGCATTTGAGATTTCTTAGGGATATATTTAGCTGATATTTTCCAGTATGGAATAGCACTTCTGTTAGAATTTTATTTTTTCCTTCAATTTTATTTCTGTATCTCTTCTTCCTTCTTAATCAAAATTCGTTTTGTTCTCCAACCAGAATATTTTTAAAGTGGCTTCTGGTCCTCTTGCTTACTCATATATGCTGTTGTCAGCTGATGAACACGTGGATTGAAGTTATCAAAAGAAAATTATTATTGTTAAGAACTCTGATGTCGCAAATCTTTATTTTTATTTGGTAACCCTTGGTGCTCCTCTACATTATATTTCAGAGAGGTGTGTGTCGGTGATGTCCACATATCTTGGCACATCTGCTGCTTTGGGCACGATAATATACATCCTAGATTTTCTAGTTTCAAATAATTTCTTTTGCATGGCTTATTTGCCCCATTTTCTGTAATATTCTCCTATCAAGACTCAGGTGTGGGGATCTTATTCTCCTATCAAGACTCAGGTGTGGGGAGCACAGAGTGCTGATATTTGGATGACTTTTTTCTTGTGATCCCGTTGCTTCCCGCCTTCTGTTATTTTGGTATTCCTTTTCCTTCTAATGATATCACCTTTTGCACTGGGGCAGGATCTAATTCAGCAGCAAGATGATTGGGAGCGCGGATGACGAGACTGCTGATATTTTGTTAGAATCCCATCCATGACACGGGAAGAAAGCTTTCAAGTGGACTTGCTTAATTTTTCTTAATCCTACTGTAATCTTGTCAAAGTCATGGAATTATTTTGTTAAGCGAAGTGGTTTATCAGCAGCGGCCTTGTGAATCTGGTTTTGGTTGCTCAGATTGTATCAGCAGCGGCCTTATGAATCTGGTTTTGGTTGTTCAGATTGCATGATCTACCGTCTGTGCCGTGGATTATGCATCTAAATCCTGGACATTTTGCTGCATTTTTGAGGAAGGGGGTCCTATGCCAGGTGTTTCCTGTGGATATTTTTTGAGTTTTGCTGAAGTGTTTCTGTGGTGCATGGGCAACAAAAACTGGGTCATGTATGGTGGTTGGTTTATTCCTATTAGTGTACAGGTTTATGGCTGTCTTGGTAATCTGCTTTTGACTGCTTCCCGTCGATGTTGGCCAGCACGGTTTGGCCAACGGCTGCTATTTGGGTGGGCAGAAGATGCCATTCACCGCAGCATGGCTTGTTTTTGCACAAGCTGCTGCTATTTGGCCTTGGCATCTACTCAGCTATTTGGAGTGAATTATATTTTAGTTCCTTAGTTTATCAAAACATATTAACTAATCCTGATAATTTTAGAAGCTACTAGATTAGGCACGCTGAACGCAGCGGGTCAGATTAGACTTTTTCTAACCTGAACTTTTTTTCAACCTGAAATAAAAAGTTCAATGGAATTAAAAAAAATTAATTGTTAAAAAGAACATTAAAAGAAAATCTAGCCATCAGGTTAAATTTTTTAAACATGTGATCTGAGAAGTTAATAATTTTTTTATTAAAATATAAAGGGATGAAATTGAAAATGATTAAAAATAAAAAATATTAATAGAAAGAAATAAAAATAGAGCTAAAATATATGAGGGGTACAATTGCAAATAAAATTAATTCAGAGGATAATGAAAACATTGAGAGATGTAATTGTAAATTTAATTTTATTAAGAAAATATTTTAAAAAATAATAATAAAAGGAATAAGAATTAAAAAAAATCAATGGAGGGTTAAATTGAAAGAAAAATTTAATTTTGTAGACAATTTAAATTAAAATAAATAGTGATTAAAAAAATATGGAATTATGTACTGAATTTAAAAGAAAAATAAATTAAAAAGTTGTTTTAAAAATATACAGGGTTAGCTTTAGAATCGACAATGAGGGAGAAAAGAAAAAGAAAAATTGATTTTTAGTGCAAAACCTGACATGTATTTTGCCACGTGCGTAGCTCAATAATGAAGGTGATGTTGTGCGAATTAAATTGCCATTGTGGAAGCTAGAGTTTGGCTGTAGAGCAGTATTGTATGGGCTGTTTGAAGACCATGAGGGAACTCGTGTGCAATAACCTTTTTTATATTAAATAATATTTTATTTATATAAAAATACCAAATTGTCCTTGTTCAAGCTTACTAATTACAATAAAAAATAAAATAAAACGACAAAAGTTCTTGACTCAAAGCAAAAACAATTATGATTCAAGAACATTGCGATAAATTTCATTGTTCAAATAACAATAGAAAAAGACTATCATACCTCATTCCAAAGGTTAGTTGTGCTGTGTTTATAATGGTAGAATCTTCATTTCACTGCTCTAATCTACCATGACAATAAATTTATATGTACTATCATAAATGCATAAACCAATAGCTCTTCTAATTTATTTAAATATATTTAATTTATGTTTTTAATTCATTTACATTTTATTTTATTCTTTTATAAAAAAATTAGTGCATTAAGATTGATAAAAATAAAAAATAAAATGTTGTCTGAACAAAATATTACTAAATTAAACATGATCAACTAGGGATAACAATTGGTATTATAAGAAGATTGTTTTATATATATATATATTGAATTAAAAAATTATAAATATTTTACAAGTTTAATTATTTAGATTTTATTAATTATTTATCAGGTAAGAATTTTGAACACCCATTCCTAGCCTAAAATATTAACCATTAAATCAAATCAAATCAAATACTATTCCAGTAAATTGCACGTATACCGGTTGTTTTATTGTGTTTTTGCTGTTGCTAGAGGATTTAGTTTTTATTTTTATTTTTATCATCCTTTAAGGAATTATTTATTAGTTTTGATACTATCAGGATCAGTTTCTTTATTTGTACAAACTACAATTACTAAATTGTAACTAACTCTTTGTATTGGTTGGATTAAAACGGCGTCGGTTGCAAATATTGCAAAACCCTAGGAGGCCTAGAAACTCAGTGATATATAACGGATAGAGCGTTAGAATTTATTGCTGAAGGGAAAGGCGGGTGGGCAGACGGAAGCGAAGAAGGCGATAAAAAATGTCGAAGCGAGGTAAAGCCACTGACCCTACCTTCTCCTAGTAATGTAACGACACGTCAATCACACCAAACGCTCTAACCTATTTCTCTTCTGTTTTCAGGAAGGGGAGGATCGGCCGGAAACAAGTTCCGCATGTCGCTGGGTCTTCCGGTGGCGGCGACGGTGAACTGCGCTGACAACACCGGAGCGAAGAATCTCTACATCATATCAGTGAAAGGAATCAAAGGTCGCCTCAATCGTTTGCCGTCGGCTTGCGTCGGAGACATGGTGATGGCTACAGTGAAGAAAGGAAAACCTGATCTCAGGAAGAAGGTGATGCCTGCTGTCATCGTTAGGCAGAGAAAGCCTTGGCGCAGAAAGGACGGTGTTTTCATGTATTTTGAAGGTTTGTCTAGTAATTTTCCTTCCAATTTTGATTTTCAGATTTTAAAACCATACATATATAAATTTATTTGTTTTGTTTGCAGATAATGCTGGTGTTATTGTCAATCCCAAGGGAGAAATGAAAGGTGAAATTATTTCTTAAACTTCATTTTTGTTAAGTTTGCTGCGTTTTAGCTTGTGATTGTTTTACAATTCTGCATTAATTGTAGCTGATGAGTGATCTTGCTGTGGTGAAACTTGTTGTGGTGAAACTTGTTGTGGTTTGCTTGAGGTATAATTAAATAGCTTGTGGTTTTGAGATCTTCGATGACTGATGAGTTTTTGTTTTCCCCGAATTTTGATTTTCGGGAAAGGCTAAGGTTCTCTCATTTTTAGCCCTTGATGAGTTTGAAAATCCCACCACTCGGTGATGTTGACTTCCCATTTGTTATGATTCCCAATTTGATGGCTCGGAAGCACGTGCTCATGTAAGCTCGAGTTTATAGCAGTCTAACCCATATTTTTTAGGCTCCAATTATGAAAGCATGTGGATGATTATGGTCTCTTCACCCATTTATTGAACACAACTCTCTGGGGACAAGGACTTTTTGTGCAGTTTTTTGATCATTAATGGTTACCTTAGATTTGAATTGTTTTTTGGTCTCTATTAATAAGGGAGGGTGGTGTATGATTGTTGATTAGCATAAGGCATTTTAGATGTGGTTTCGGAGTTTTTTGTAGGTTTGTTTGTTTAGTTTCTAAGAATTAATAGGTTGTGAAATGTCGTATCATGATGTTTTTATGTTCAAAGAGAGAATTATTACCAATCTCAATATTTTTTTGGAACGTGTTGTTTGCTTCGGCCTGGCTGTTGTTTATGATACCCCCATGAGAATCATAAGCGGGGGTTCGGTGTTCATCTAGTTTTTTCTGTAATATTTCTTCAATGGTTCATGTTGCTGATTGTTGCTGTTTTACTGCTTGTAGGATCTGCCATCACTGGACCCATCGGCAAGGAATGTGCTGACTTGTGGCCAAGAATTGCCAGTGCTGCCAATGCCATTGTCTGAATGGGGATTGGTTTTTGATAGGTCTTGATGCCGTCTTCAGAATGTTATTACCTTTATGTTCAGCCAGAATTAAATGGAATGGAGGACCTTCATGAGCCCTGTCTATGTTCTTGATGAATTGCAGATGTTTAAGTTTTGATCGATTGCTTTGCTACCATTCACAACTATTTCTCCTCTCTATTCTCTTTTGTCCCATCAAGATTGTTAGAGAGGTGAACACATGGATGCCAAGGGAGGGAGAATCGTTCTTGTTTTAGGATTGCATTACATTCATGTCATGGGTGATGCTGTCATCATTGTTGCAGCATGTCTGATATTGGACTCCCAATCTTTTTCTCAAAGCATTTTACAACATGCGATTTTCTAAGCACCTTTCCTGCATGATTGCACGCGCGTGGGAGTGTGGCACTGGATGATTTCACTGTGTTAATATTTAAAAATAAAAAATATAATCAAGTAAAAATCTCAAAAACATACTCTAAAGAGGATGAGCGAATTACTGGTGAGTTGGATTGTTAATGATTATATTTTATTTTTTTATTTGAAAATATATTAAATTAATGTATATTTGTATTTTTAAAATTAGCATATAAAAAACATAAAAGAAATTAATGTTGTCTTCAAACGTTGCCATGTAATGTCAACGAACTTTTTTATTATTATATTTTAAAAGTGTATTTAAAGAAAAATTAAAATTGTTTTTATTTTTTTAAATTTTAAAACAAATTTTTTTTTCCATGTAAGCTTTCATTCATGAGGTGACTCGAAGTGTAGGAGCATTTTTAAAAACATTTTGAAAACATCAGTAGGCAGAGAGGAAAGGACACTACTAGGGGGCCTTTCTACCTTTCACATTTTTGGATCTCGTGCTGTGCATGGTGCCCAGTGATGCTTCACAGGTATGGAATGGAAGGTAGCGATTCCTCATGTTTATATAATAACCAAAATATTTTTTTAAAAATTAATGTGTATTAAATGATATTTTTTAAAATATTAAAAATGCTACGTATTAGATATAAAACTGATATAATAAATAAATAAATATTTTATACACGGCGTGTAAAACTATGAACGGACAATGGCCTTAAAGCTCTAAAAAATGGACGAAGGTGTTTGTATTGTGCCCCCCTCACTCTTTAGGTATGGACGGTGTGGACTTTAATGCTAGAGAAAACCTTATCTCACTTTTTGGTCTCAGATACTTCCCGGTAAAGTTCACCAACTAGGAGTACAACCCAAGGAAACCCAGTAATTAAGAATATTAAGTAGCTTGTTCTCTTGCAAGACATCTAATGTGAAAAGTGTCTCATCATCTCTGTTAACATCACATCACTACCTGCAAGTCTCAATCGCTGCTCCAAGTTGGGAATAATCTGACCGAAGACTGCCGGTAAAGCAGTATCGTATGATCTCCCGCTAATGAGAGGGTGACACTTTGTGTATCACTGATAGTGATGCCCGTTAGTGGGAATCGATGCTTTAAAGCTCAACTCCTGCTTTGCTCTATAGCTCGTCCTGCTCCAAGTGTTTCAGTACTCCCTCTTGGTTGCTAGGTCGTCGTCTTCTTGTGTCCAGGTGCAGGTGCAGGTACAGTGAAGGTGGAGGGAAGCATGAAGAGAAGCCGGTTCTTGAGGTGGGGGAGCAGAATCTCAAGCACTGGGTCTGCAGTCAAGCTTGTTAGTCTGAAAAGACAAGTGCCGTTTGGTCGACGTTGTGAATCATCTTTC